GTGCGCACTCATATGCGTGTGTGCGCGTGTGTGCATGTATAAAGACTAGCGGCCGTGTGTGTGAACTTGCAGCTGTGTGTGTGCGTGCATGTGTGTACGAACTTTCAGCTGCATGTGTGAACTTGCAGCTGTGTGCATGCAAGATAGATATCGAGATATATATATACACACAGACATGCTGCGTATATGTCCATGTGGGTGTGAACTTGCAGGTGTACGTGTGCACCTGTGTGAACTTGCAGCCATGTCTGTATGTGCGGGTGAGAACTAGCAGCCCTGTGCGTGTGCACATGCCCAGGCGTGCACTTGCAGCCTTGTGTGCCTGTGTGAACGCGGGTGCACTCACACCTCTCTACGTGATGGTGAGGGAAGGGGGTGTGCATGCAGCTGATCACACGTGTGCCTGTGTGTGCCCCTCCGCATGGCACTTGCTCACTTGGCAGCTGTGCCCTGCCGGGGCCTCAGGGCCCTGTCCCCGTCAGAGGGGCGGGAGGCTGGAGATTCACCCCCGGGTGACTGAGTGGGGCTGACGTGCATCTCGCACCAGCTGAAGCCCATTTCCAGCATCTCTGGGAGCTCTAGGGGCTGGCCGCTGGGACCAGGGTGGGGTTGGGAAGCTCCTCGGGAGGCTCCCCCACACTCGGGGCTGTCCCCAAACCTCTGTCCACCCCAAGCTGGTGCCTCCTACCCCGTTCCTAGCCTCATGCCAGTCCTGCAGCCCCGTGCTGGGCTGTGGGGCAGGGGCCCATCCGCCTGCGCTGGCTGACACGCTGCTTTCTCTCTTGCAGAACACTGAATTGTTTGAAATGATTGAAAAGATGCAGGTGAGTCGCCTCCCACAGCCCCCAAATGCAGAGCCCCGCAGCGCAGACAGGCTCCTTCCCAGCTGGGCTCATGCTCAGCCCGCACGCTCGGTGCCCAGGAGAGGCCTGGCAGGGTGAGCCCAGGGGCGGGCACAGGGCAGGGTGGCAGCTGTCCCAGCTCAGCAGCCTCAGACCCAGAGGCCACAAACCCCATCACAGTGCAGCACCGGGCGCTGGGTGATGGCCCAAGGAGGGCTTCGTTTCGGGGTCTGGGTCCCAAGCCCCAGCCTGCAGCTTCCTGGCAGCTCGGGGGTGTGAGCCCAAGGACTCGCCCCCTTCCCACCCCAGTGCCGCGGCAGCTTATCTGCTACGGACACGGGCACCTCTGCGGAGGGTGGCGACGTGCAGGTGCTTCCACCTGCGAGTGCCGCACCCGCGGCTCGACAGGGTGGTGCAGACATGTGAGCACCCCCAGACAGCCCCTGCCACCTGCACACACGGATGTGAGACAAAACAATAGCAACCACGCGCCTCGGCAGCTCCTTTGCCAGCTGCTGGCTCCCTTCCCCCTCTGCCCCCACGCCCAGAGCCTGCCGGAGCCGTGCCAAGCAGGAACTGGCCTTCGCCTGCAGAGTAAACATGTCACAGGCCCTGATCCCCCGAGAGGCCCATGCTCGGTGCCACACGCTGACTCTCTGCCCCTTGTCCCCCCCAGGGAAGCAGAATGGACGAGCAGCGATGCACCTTCCCTCCTCCTCTCAAGGTAGGTGCCGAGGGTGCTGCAAGCCTGATCTGCCCCGGTACCCCCTGCTTTGCTCCTCAGCACCACTCTTGGTACACAGCATTGCACGGTGCTGAGCTCCCGATAGACACACTGCTAGTCCCCCCCCACGGCACCCCGAACTCTCCTGCAAAGAGGCGTCCTACTGCTGGAACCACGTCGGTTGTGTGGGTGCCCCCGTGGGCAGTCACGTGGCACCAGCTAATGTTGTCCTGCAGCCCAAGGTAGGATTTGACCCCAGAGCTCAAGGATGCAAAAGGCTTTTGCCCAGCAAAGAGTGGCTGCAGCTGGGACCTGGGTCCGTGCCAGCCATCCCCTCTTCCAGGCCAGACCAAAGTAGTGCCTTGTCTGCAGGAGCGGGGGAAAGCGATAGGAAGAGACAAGCAGAGGCATGTGGGACCCCACAACGGGTGGGGCTGCACAGCCCACTGGCCAGGGGGAGGCCATCCGATCTCATGCCAGCCGCAGCGGTGCTGATGTTTGCATCGGTGTCACTTCTCATTTGAATGTTCAGACTTTAACAAGAGCCAGGGAGGGGCGTGATGCCATCTGAGCAATGGGCTGGCTGGCTTCATGCAAGGAGGCACCGGTCCTTGCTGGCAGGGTGATGCCTCTCGTGTCTCCCGGGTCAGGCCGTGTGCTGTGGCTGTCGCCCCCATCCAGCTCTGGTGTCTCCTGTGATGCCACGTGCTGCTCCTGTTCTGGGGCTGCCACTCCCCACCAGCGCAGCTGCAGCCGCGGTAGAGACCTGTCTACACTACAGCTCCCACCGGTGCTGATGTACGGCGGGGGCTCCCTGGTGGTAACCCACTTGAGCTCTGCTGCCACGGAGCCCCGGGGACACATGGAGGGCTGGATTTTAAGGCCCTCAGCTGTCCTCCTGCCACTGGCAGGTCCTAGGAGGGAACCCAAGACTGGGCGATGGAGCCAGGACCCTGCAGAGGCGTGCATGGTGCACGCTGTCGGGGCAGGGGGGAGGAAGCGGGGCTGTATCCCCAAATCTCTGAGCCTTTGCTGTGTTTGTGCCTTTCAGACAGAAGAGGATTACATCCCCTACCCCAGCGTCCATGAGGTACGCATGCCGCTGCCCCTCACCGCCTGGTCATTTGGACAGGGTGTTTGCATTGCTGTGGGGCCAACACGGGCCAGCGCCCTCCTCTCTGCTGGGCCCCCGGGATTGGGCCTGGAGGAGGGCTACATCCTACCTGCTAATGGCAGCCGTGGCTCTTCCTAGCGTTTCCTGTTGCTACAGCTCTGGGTGCAGAGGAGGCCCGAGGGGAAGTGACTTGCCCAGGGTCCCCGGGAAGTCGGTGGCAGAACAGGGAGTCAAACTCGGGACTTCACAGCCCCAGGCCGGTGCTCTGCTGGCCCTCACTGCCTCTCCGGGGAGCAGCTGGGTGGATGGGTGGGGGCCTCGTGAGCTAGGCAGAGGATGCTTGCCGGTGGGCCTGGGGGGCTCTCACTGCTTTCTCTCCGTCCCGCAGGTACTGGGCCGGGAGGGGCCGTTCCCCCTCATCCTGCTGCCGCAGTTCGGGGGCTACTGGATCGAAGGCACCAACCACGAGCTGACCAGCGTCCCCGAAACCGAGCAGCTGCAATCTCCCACCTCCAAGGTCAAGCTGGAGTGTAACCACACGGCCAGGATCTACAGGAAGCACTTTCTGAGCAAGGTGAGACCCCCCCTCCCCTGCCTCAGGGCCTGGCCCAGGCAGGGAGACGGTCCAGGCCACCCCTGTTCTCTCTGCCCCTTGGCGGGTCTCGTCCCCAGCCCTTCCGGCTCTGGGGCTGCTTGTGGGACCCTTAATGGGGCTCTAGTGAAGGTCAAGGACCCCAGGGAGCTCCCGCAGGCACTTGTGAGGCAGACGCCCTGGTCGGGGGGTGTCTGGCTGGAGAGGGCTGCTGTGAATGGAGCGTGACCAAACCAGGGGAAATTCAGGGCTGGGGCTTGCTCCTTCTGCTCTCACCTCTCTGCTGAGACCCAGGGGTCAGCTGGGCCCTGTCCGAGCCCCCTCAGGTGGACGCTGGGCTCGCCTGAGCACCAGGGCTGCTGTGAAGGAGCTGTGTGCTGGCACGCCAGCCTGTCCCCAGCGCCCGGCCAGGGCTTCCCTAGCAGCCCTGGCCCCAGCTGTGTTTGCCCAAGGATCTCATGCTGTTTGCTTTTGCACTTGCACACTGTGGCTTTCCTGTGCATCTGGCTGCCGAGGTGCTGGGAACAGCCTGTCTTCTCCACGCTGTTTCCTGCGGAGGGGACTGGCCCCGGCTGTGCCAACAGGCATCACCTGCCCGGAGCTCCCCGGCCCCCTTGGCTGCACTGCTGGGCCCTTCCTGCTCCTGCAGCCTGTCTCCGCGTACCGAGCTGCCTTGCTTCTCCATCGCCCTGGCCGCCTCTCCGCCCCACGCTGTTCGGCTCCTCCTTGGCCTGGGCTCTGTCTGTGCTGGACTCTGGGATTGCAAGACGTAACTGTGTGACGGGGTCTCTCTGGCACAGCCCAGGGCCCGGTGCGGCAGGAACTCACATGCGGATTTGCCTGATGGGAGGCCGTGCAGCACAGTGCAGGACCCGTTCCCCAAGCCTCTGGGCGCTGGAAACGCTTCCCATCAAGCTTACACATTGCACAGAGATCCCAGATGGGGCAGCTTGTGCTGCAGGGTGAATCCCACAGCTCCCAAAGCCCCTGTTAGGAGCCCCTTGCCTGGGCTGCCTCAGCCAGCAGAGAGATGCACCAGGGCTGCTTCGGCTGGTCCTAGTCCATCAATCATCTCCATTCCCCAGGCCGAGGGCACCCCCAGCCCGCCCGGAGAGCCAAGGTGCTTTCAGCAAGCCGGCCAGAGGGCTGCAGAGCTCAGCATCACCCTGGAGCTGTGGTATTAGGGGGGTCTTTGCCCCTCAGCCCAGCTGGCTGCCCCGTGGGTGGGCCTTGTGGCGGGAGGGCAGCCCCTCAGGCCCTCGCCTGCCGTCTCCCCCCAGGAGCACTTCAACTACTACTCCATGGACGTGGCGCTGGGGCACCTCGTCTTCTCGCTCAAGTACGACGTCATCGGTGACCAGGAGCACCTGCGCCTGCTGCTGCGGTGAGCGCGGGTCAGGGGCTGCACCCCACGGCGGATGGGAGGCGAGGGAGGGTCCCCCATCCCAGGACTGGGACTGGCCCCCTCACCTGGGTGGACCTTGACGCCGCCTCTCTCGTTGCAGGACGAAAAGCCGCACGTACCACGACGTCATCCCCATCTCCTGCCTCACCGAGTTCCCCAACGTCGTGCAGATGGCCAAGGCATGTCCTGCGCCCCCGGGGGGCTTGCGGCACTGTGGAGGACCACATCCCCTATGCTGGGTCCCCTCGGGCCATGCTCAGCCAGACCCCAGCAGGCACCTTCCCAGCCTCGGGGTTGAGACCGGGGGTCCTGGGCACTCGCGGCTCAGGGCTGCATGTCCAGCCCGTGACCCTGTCTGGGTAGTGCGGGTGGTGGCAGGGCCGATGCGCCAGACCCAGGGCAGCTCTGGAGCCCCCGGGTGCTGTCAGAGCCAGGCAGGGGCGAACCCAAGTGACCTTGGGGTGGGAGAGCAGAGCGGGTCCCCTGTGATGGCATGCGCCCTTTCCCACTCTCTCCTCTTGCAGCTGGTGTGCGAGGACGTGAACGTGGACCGCTTCTACCCTGTGTTGTACCCGAAGGTAGGCAGGGGGCACAAGCTTCAGGGCTCAGCTCTAGTGGCAACAGCCAGACCAGGTGGAAGCTTTCCCCTTTCCTGGGCAGAAACAAATACGGGCTTTCTGGTTCCCACAGGGGCCCCCTCCCCATCGCACACATGTGCACACATGCACACGCGT